AAAAAATTTCAGATAAGTTCATTGAACTTCAGGGAAGTTCTACAAACTTCAGGAAAATTATTAAAACTTTAAAGATGTGCTTCGATCTTCAGAGAAGCTCTATAAACATCAGGAAAATTATGCCGACTTTAGGGACGTTTTGTGAGCTTCTGGGGAGTTCAATGTCGTTCTGGTAAGAGTTCTGTGAACTATAGCAACATTATATGAATTTCAATGATGCTCTGCAAAAAGTTCTTTAAACGTGAAGAAATTTTGGTAAACTTTAGGATGGTATGTGAACCACAGGGAAAATTTAATAACATTAGGAAAGTACTGTGAACTTTAAGAAATATCTGAGAATTTCAGGAAAAAAAAGCCAAACTCAGAGACGGTCAAAGAACATCAAGAAAGTTCGAAGAATTTAATCGAAGTTCAAGGAAATCAAGGAAAAACAGGGCTTTGAATTTGAATGTAACTTCTATAAGCTGTTTCATCGGGTCGTTGGTTGAACAACTCCTACTCTATGTCTTAGAAAACAGGTATAGTAGAAATAATTTCTTGTGATATCTCTTTCTCTTTTACGCTTCCCTTATGAAATGTGATCGAGGGCATGAGCAGGGTAAAAATGAGAGTTCGCCACCCAAACAAATATCGTGAATACGACTCACGCATGTTACATTGCCGTTTACCGGTATAGAAAAGGGAGCAGTTTATGAAAATTGAGGTTCACAAATATCCAAAAGAAAGATGTTAACAAGAAGTACAAACCAAACCCAACAGTCAAAGATGTGCGGGTTTGTAGATATTTGTTAGAAAAAATCACAGCAGAAAAAAAAGAAATTTATAAAAATTTGCAAATTATGTCTGACGCAGCATTCTCCTATGAAACGTCCTGCATGTAGTGAAAACCACTTTGTAGCCAAAAGCAGGCAAAAAACTAGCCGAGGTTGTAAGCGTCACAGGAAGACCAGGAATCAATGTTTTTCAATATAAAATCCCAATTTTTTAATAATTTTTTTTACACGAATTTTAAATTACCTTTCAATTAATATTTTGATCTTTGATATCAGCCCAACAGTTCAAAAGTTATGCATTAAAAAAAGAGGCATTTAAAAAATAAAATAAAAAATAAACACGAAATAAAATAAAAATATTTTGCGATAAGGAATAAAATTACAATTTTTAACCAAATTCTAAGAACCACTATATCGTTTTGCAATGGAATGGCTGATTTATAGTAAATTTAGAGACTACACAATTGTTTAATTATTTGATTAATTTAAACATTATGAGATCATGACAAAGCTGCGATATCTTACAGTACCAATAAGGGAATCTTACTTTACCAGTATTTTGACAACTTTAGTCCCATTTTGAATCATTTTCAGCTGAATTTGTTTCGATCCGTAACAGTTTTGTATCATCAATAGTTCGTATACGCCTTTGTAAACGACTAAGTATACTTCAAAACACTTTTTCTCTAAAAACCCAAGAAGAAATATTTTAAAACCATCACAGATTTGATTGTTAGGATCAATGCTAACATCGTGTGAAAAAAAATATGAGGTACATGAATGTTGCAAAAAAGTGCCTTCAGACATAGCGTGTGGCACTACAACTAGTAATAGCGACAAAGTATGCCTCCTCCAACTATAATACATGTCCAATTCATGCAACGAAGCTTCGATGTGCTAACCCGATTCCGACGTGAATCGGAATTGGAAAATACTGCATCAATGGAAACGGAAAGCAATATCGCAATTCGAGATGCTACCACTCTGGCTGCTCGCTCACGAGGAGCACGTGATGTTGCAGCGTTACTTGAGTGGTTTTCAGCATCAATTTTTCCACCTAGTTTTAATTGCAACTAGCGAGACGACAGTGATGGTGGATTCACGTGTGCCAGGGTAATTACCCATGGGATTGTTGTCAGCCGACAACCCGGTTGTTGTTGTTGTTGTTGTTGTTGCTGCAAATCTTGTATACTTTGCACCCAAATTTATTCTGATTTGATCATAACAATAAGTTTGAAAATCATTTCAACAAATATGCGTCACGGACGATGCCTTCACCCGGGAACAGCCAGCTGATGCATTGTAACGGGGGTACAAGCCTTTTCCCCTTGACACGTTAATTGATCCCATTTAACTAAAGTGTGTATGTACATTCTCGTCGTGATCTTCGTTATGCGATAGGTGCCACTCTAGCAGCACACCATCATCATCACGGAAGGTTCGCGCCTGACTGTTCTGATTGAACTCCTTACGATCCACCGTCGCACACCGTACTAACGACCAGTCATGTTCAAGCAATGTTGATGTTTTTATGGTTTTTGCATTTTTGGTGTTTTTTGTATTTTTAGGCGTTTTGTGTTTTAAATGCTAATTTAAAATCTCACAAAAAATATAATCTCACAAAAAACACCATAAAGGGAAACTTTTCGCCCCGAAAAAAATGTTTTGATTTTTTTTATTAGTTTTGGACAAATTTATCGAAACTCTAAAAAAAAAAACAGTTTTTCTATTTTTCTTTAGAAAATAAAGGGTGTCCACGATGAAATTGCCACACTATGAAATTGCTCTAACTTTTTAACCGTTGGGTAGAATTTAATGAAAATTTGGGTGGATTTAGTTCATAGTGCATTATTTACATCCTGCAAGTTTTAAAGTCCTGTGATCAAAACTCGCGGAAATGGAGTCGAAAGAACAGCTCGTGCGTGATAAAATCTTGCGCATTCATCACGAGAACAAGGATCTCTCGCATCGTTCCATCGCTAAAACGTTGGGAATCGTGAATTCCACGGTGTCGCGAGTGATTAAGCGGTTCGAGGAACGGTTGACCACCGATCGGAAGCCCAGAAGTGAAGGAAAAAGTATTCCGTACAACACCAAAAATCACAACCGCGTAGTTGGGGCCTTCAACCGAAATCCAAACGCCTCCGTTAGGGATGAGGCTAAAAAGCTGCACCTAAGCCGAAGTTTTGTCCAGAAGGCCAAAACTAAGGCTGGGCTTCGAACGTTCAAGGTACAAAAGGCCCCTAATCGCGACGAGAAGCAGAACAAGTCCGCCAAAACCCGTGCCAGGAAGTTGTACCTCAACATGCTGACGAAAGTTGAATGCTGCATCATGGACGACGAAACATATGTGAAGGCCGACTTCAAACAGATCCCCGGCAACCTGTTTTTCACGGCCAAGGATAAGTTCAGCGTTCCGGAGCATGTCCGCACTCAGAAGATGTCCAAATTTGCGAAGAAATTCCTGGTTTGGCAAGCCATCTGCACGTGTGGGAAGCGGAGTGCACCTTTCGTGACCCAGGACACGATGAACGGACAGGTGTACATAAAAGAGTGCCTCCAGAAGCGGCTGCTTCCTCTCCTGAAGGCCCACAATGTCCCAACAATCTTCTGGCTGGATTTGGCCTCATGCCACTACTCCAAGGACGTGCTGAAGTGGTATGCGGACAATAAGGTCAATTTCGTGCCGAAAATGTTCAACCCTCCCAACACTCCGGAGCTCCGCCCCATTGAGAAGTACTGGGCGATTATGAAGCAGCACCTTCTTAAACGACCTAAGGTAGTGAAGACAGTCGAGGAACTGAAGAAAGTATGGGTTTACATGCAAAAAACGGTTGATTCACAGGTTGTGCAGAATCTTATGGCCGGGGTTAAGGCCAAGGTGCGGGCATTTGCGTATGGACTGTAAATAAAATACGAGTAAAATTGTAAAATGAAGTTTAATAGTTATTTCTCAATCCCTGAAAATTTGATGGCAATCGGATGAAAACTCGAATTTTGCGAATCAATTTTGTGTGTGGCAATTTCATCGTGGACACCCTTTAAGTTACGTTTAAAAACATTTTGTCGAAGTCATCATGGTAAAACGTTTTCTTTTTGTAAAGTTTTTAGGAATCTTAAGAAAAAAAAACTGATTTTCTTGGATTCTTGATATTTTTTTTCAATATGTTTAGAAAAATCAAAACGCGGCAAGACAATTTTTACGTTTTTTGGTCACTTTGGGCATTTTATAGTGTTATGAACTAGATTTTCCATTTTCAGATTTTTGTTGTTGCATTTCTAGCCACTTTTAAGAATTTTAGTTAAAGATAATTGAGATGCATAAAACGTCATTTAAGTAAGACCATTTTGATGTATTTAATGACGATTTGATGTAGATTCCGGGTTTCTAAACCCCATTTGTACACTGTTTAAGGACATTTTGGCAATTCAAAGATTATTATAGCGTTTTTATCGCCATCATACTTATAAACTAGAACCCTTCTTATGCCCTTCCAGCTACGTAACAATCTGAGTACGGTGCTGCGTGCGCCCGTGCGGTAAAGCTAATTCCAACATCAATGCCCACACACCCACCGACTACCAGTAGCCCTCCGGTTTGCATCTTTTCGAATTCGTCGGCTTCCAGTTCAGAGGCAGCCGAGTTCAATTAGTGATTACTAGGAGTAAACTCGAAGCTGCTGGCGTGTGCTGAGTTAAGTTCTTCTTGTTTCGCGGCGATACATCTTGCACCTTTAGATGAACTGAGCTATTAGATACCTACTTACTTTGGTAGAAGAAAAAGATGTGATTGCCAGTTAGCGGGTGTTTTGATTGTAGGTTGGGTTTCCGATTTCGATAACTGGTGCGCCTACTCATTATTACCGGTGACGACGACGCCGGCTGAAAAAGTGGCACGAATTTCTGATTCCAGTTGTGGTTGTTTATTCTGTGGCGCTTTGATTGATTGGCGTTCGAGTGTTCGGGATGACAAGTGCGACTGACTCTACTCGAGTAGAAGAAAGCGACACACCGAAGTGTCCGGGTACATTGGATTGATAGACCGTGGAAATACATATTTAGTCAAGGTTTCAAATGGCTTCTGTTTGATTTCCATTTCAGAGCACTAATAGGATCGGTTTTCTTGTTTGAAGAGAATTTTATTTGTTAAAGACGATTGATTGCAATGGGAAATAGGAGGTATTTCTCGATTTCAAAATAGAACAATGAGCCATTTTAAATTTCCGATCACTCAGTTTTCCCATCTGTGGTTCTACCGGAATTCCCAGAACTGCTACCTTGTTCATTATTTTCACGTGCTGAAGAAAAGCTATCACTGGAGACTTCCCGATTGGATTCCAGCTTCTCCGAGGTATCTTCAGTGACGCATGTATTGCAGTATGGTGGACTTAACGATTGCGATTCCGCTGATGATTCAATTCCTGGAAGGCTTTTGTGACGAATTGCGTATTCTGCATGAGCAGCGGCTGTTTCGTTGTATCTTTTTAACGTATTGATTTCACCATGTGCTTCAACGAACTTTTTCTCGAGATTTAACAACTCACGTTGCATACTGCAAAAGAATTGTTTTAGTGAAAGGTTAGAGCGGGAAAATATTCTTTGGGTCATACTTATGAGTAACTTCGGATGTATTGTGGCATTGGTCTTCTAATGCAATCTTCAAGCGTAGATTCTCACATTCCAGTTCCAATACTCTTGCCTGGAGTTCTGTCCTCTTTTTTTCATTGACGGTCTCCACATTCGATATCTGTTTATCGAAGGTACTACCATAAGTACTAAAATTTAAAACTTGAATGAATAATTCTTACGAAATCGACGCTTTCCTTCTCTAGAGCCTTGTATTCCTTGCTCAGAGCGTCCAATTTGATGGTCTTCTCCCTCAAAGCAGCACTTAGCTGTTGGACTGATTCCTTTTGCTGAACCGCTGAATCGTACTGCTGTTTCAATTCACTGTATTTGGCAACCCAGTTCATAGCTGTTCCAACAAATGACAAATTAAAATTTAATGTAAAACAGACTACTTTCATTTTTTACCCAACGTGTGCCACTCTCCCTGTGACACGCTGTCCCCCAAAATATTATCATAACAATTTCACACAAACAGAACATTCACCAAGTGCTCTTCTCTACCCCGGCTGTGCAGCATAATGACGAGGGCAGCAGCACAATAACGAATTTTGCCTGTAGCATTAATCCGGCAGACTATCAGTTTAATGTGCTCTCTTTTGCCTGTGCTACTGCTGCTCAACTGTCAGGCCACTTCGTTTGTGACGACAACGCAATGCTTTTCTCTGTGTCATTGTTGTTGTTATGCAAATTGTTCGAATTCTACTGCTGTTGAATGGAAGTTTGTGTCCTACATTTTCACTTACCTTTTCGTTTTTCCTCGTCGATCTCGTTCAGTGTGTGGAAGGCACGTTTTCGCTCCTGCTGCAGCTCACCCGAAATGTCCTCACACGTTTCCAGGCCGGATTCAATGTCAAGCAGGAGGGACTTGAGCGTGAGTTTTGTTTCCTGCAGTTCCTTGTTGGCAACCTTGAGAGCATGTTCCCGCACCCGCAGCTCGTCGGGAAGACGCTTCAAGCGGTCGATTTCGTTCATTAGGGTTTGATTTTCCTGCTCAAGGGCTGTATTGATTTTCTTCGTTACGAGCTCCTCATTATCCTTGAGAGCCTGTATCTCCTGATTCTGGTGCTCCACGATGGCGTTGGTTTCCATCAGTTTAGATCTGGCGCAGGAAAAGTTAATCAAAATTCAAATATAGGAAACAAGATACCAATTCATACCGATAGAGCTGCGTTTGTTCTTCCTTCATCTTCAACGTCTGAAGCAGTTGCTCTTGTTCTAACTGTGACTGACGGAGCTGATCCAGGTAGATTCCAAGTGCCTGGTTGCACCGGCAGTTACATTTACCATATTTGCTTACTATGGATCCAGCGCCGTTGGAAATGTCCCTGTCCGTATCTCTGGACTGGACTTGCTCCACCGAGGGACATTTTCCGGCAAGATTCAACTGGCAGCGGTACAGCAGACGTTGGGTGTTGAGTTCATTGCGGACATCCAGCTCCAAATTGCTGATGGTGTTTTCCAGGGTGTCCAACGTGTTGATGATGCCACTGAGGGGTTGGTTATCTGTGCTATGTGTGGTGTTGTTGAACATATTCTGGCACTTGAATTTGGATACTTTTCGTAGTGAGGAATTTGAAATTATCGCTTGATTTGCAAACTGATTTTAGTTAATTTTTGACTGGTCGAAATTTTATGGCTCCTATGATTAAAGTTTGCCGACAGTTTCATACAATATTAAGGCTCTGAACCATTTGGTGGATTATTTTAACTCTTGGTTAAAATTTGACAGATGGAAAGTTATCGATGAACCCTGCTATCCAAGCATGGTTATTTCTGACAAACAAGAAGTTAAATTTTGACAACCGTGGGTTGAAAACCGGTCGATCGACAGCACGGGGATTATCGAACATAGAAAATAACTTTGGAAATGTCACTTTTAACCACGAGTTAAATTTAACTCGGCAAATGGTTCACAGCCTAACAGAACGTTTCCGGAACCACGGTATACATAATAGAATATTTCACCTCTATGACTACACCGTGTGAAGTTTATCATTTACTTAATTTCTCACTTAATAAAGTAGTAAAAAACTTACCCAATTTGAGTAATGCCAAGATATAAAATTATTCTATATCTTGAAGATTCGTATTGCATGTACAAGTTCAAGATATTGAAAATTTTCAAAGTGCCAGAATCAAGAAAAAAATAAATGATTTATTTCAAGTTCGTAGGAACTTTGGCGAATTAATGAGTAATGGAAAGAAATGATGAGAATTTCAGTGAAGCTCCATAAACAAACTGCGGGAACATAAGGGAAGTTAATACGCTGAAAATATGGGCAACTTACTGGAAGCTTTAAGAACCTCAAAGCGGTTCTTTTAGCATCCGAAAATTTTCGGGAACTTTTATGAAGTTCCTAGAATTTCAGACAACTTCACAGGTGTCAAGCAAACTTGAGAAATATAGAAAACATGAGGGGTATTGTGCATTTTTTTAAGAAGTTCTAAGTACCTCAGAAAAGATAGATCTAGAGATTTTTTTTGGGGAATTTCAGACCAGCAGTTTCCGTAGCTTTAGTCCAGACTTTTGCAGCAGTTTGAATATCTATAATCGTAAATTTAGAAAAATTCAGGACAGTTCCATGATATCCTGAAAAAAAATCGAGAACCCTTAAAATGTTCCGAGAATTTCAGGGAAGTACAGAGTCCTTCAGAAAATCTATGAAAACTTCAGAAATATTTCAGAAACTTCACAGAAGTTCAGAGAATTTCAGAATAATGAAAGTCGTAACAGGATTTTTCTAACTCAGGGAAATTTAAATGTTTTTACGGGAATTTCATTTATTTCCGAGCAGCAGAACCGAGATCTTCAATAGAATTGAAAGTTTTAGGGAAGCTTCGAGAACATCAAGACAGATTATAGAATCAAAGGGCAGTTCAAACAATTTCAAGGAAATTGTAAAAACCTTAAAGAAGTTGCGAGAAACTCAGGGAATTATGAATATATATCATTGTTTGCCGGATTATTAAACAAATAAAAAGAACTTCAGGTAACCACTGATAAGTTCAGGGAAAATTAGGGACCGTTTATAATGGTTATAATAATTAGGGGAAATTGTCGAAACTTCAAGGCAAATAATTGAATTTCAGTAAAGCTGCGGGTTCTTACAAAAAATACTGAAAATTCAGGGCAGTCTAGAGAACTTTAAAGAAATTCAATAATCATTTAGGCAGTTTAAATACCACCAGGACAGTTTAGACTATTGAAGAAGTTGTAAATAAGTGTCGATAATTTAAATTCTACGGAGATTTCCATTGAAAAATTTCTCAAAATTTTGGTGAAGCTATCCTCCGAATTCAATTTTCTTTTAGTTTTTCTTGGAATTCTCCACAATAAGAAACCCTTTCGAAAGATTATCCGAATATTCATTGAATTCATTTCAGATTTCCTTTTCAATCTCACTCCTTCCCTTGGAATTCTACTCACATTGAAAGTCTCCTAAGAATTAATTGGCATTTCTCCTCACAAATTACTTCTATTTCTTCTCATAATTTGTTTGGCAAACTCTCCTGAATTTATATTCCGAATTCCTGTGAAAATGTCCTGGGGTTATTCTCAGATTTAATTGTAATCCTCCTTTAGCATTTAAAAAAAAATCCAAGGACTTATGCTCCGGATTCGTTTTCTCCCACAAACTTTATGAAATTATGCTCAGAATGCTGTCAGAATTGTGCAAGGAACAGCAAAAAATGTAATGGACTGTAGCGCACAAGTAAGTTTTTCCAGAACGATTTTTTCTCGTATAAAACCTTCAAGAGATGATTTTTGAGCCGCAGTGCATTTGACAAACAAGCTTTGTTCGAACATTTAACTAACATAAAAATAACAAAACATTAAAAAAATCTTCTGACGACTACATTACAGAATTTGTTAAAGCGGTGAAATATTACAAATTCTGTATATATTTATTACAAATCTACAATCATCGGTCATTCACTTTAATCAGCCCAAGCCCAAACACTGCGTGTTAGATCGTGATCACGGCATTTTCTTCTTCTTTTGGCTTTGTTACGTCCAACGTTGGTACTTTACGTCTGCTCTCAATCAGTGACGTCGCCCTCACCTCAATCTACCTGAGCACCAGCTCTCAAAACGTTCTCAAAATATTACTTGTAATGGATAAATATCAGTAAAACTAGAAGGATGTGCATTTCGCAATCGATGTGAATGTAATTAGGGTAGGGCGGGGGCAAGATCGCCACCCTAAGCTTTAATTTATTTTGAACTATAATAATCGCAAATAATACATTACAATATTATCTGTCCTAATTCTTTAATGTCTTCTCCAGCTCTTTAGTGTTGATATAGTTCAATGCAGGGTTGCTTCCACTCACTTGCTATAAAAATTGATTTTCGGTATTATGAAATCATTACATGTAATAATGATATGTTGTAGTTGTAAGTTTCAAGAAGAGGTTGAAACTTATGTATTTGACTCATACAACTTGTCAATTCCGCTTTCAGGGCGCTACAATTATCGATTGTATGATTCGTGAGCGTTAACTCAGAGTGAGCGCTCACGAATCGTAGAATCGCTGATAGTGACGCTCTGAAAGCAATATTGACAGATTTTATGTGTCAAACACATACTTTACAACCTCTTCTTGTAACATACAAGTACTAATTATAATTATAAAATCTAAATATTTCATAATTCCGAAAAACATTTTTTATAGCAAGTGAGTGGAAGTAACCCTGGTTCAATGTATTAAAATTTTAATATTTACTAAATGAATTAAAAAAGTAACTTATTTTCACCGTTTTGCGAATTTATTCTTATATAATATTTTTGGGTTTTTAAGAATAATGTACCTTAGTTTATTAAATCAAAATACTAGCACTTAGTTGAAATATTAATTGAAAGTTGTAACAAACTAAACAAAAAATGGATATTGATTATAGCAAATTCTTATTACAAAGAGAGGGTTTTTTCATTTGGGCATATTTTCAGAAATTTCTCGGTAGTTATTGAATAGTTCTAAATCATTTTTTAAGGGTACGTATGTGCAGTTTTCAAAAATATAGGATTTTGTAAAATTGAAGGGTGCGCATCTTGTTCCGTCCTACCCTATTGCCTGATATCACGTTTTTAAAGTTGGTGCACAGGTAAAAAGTAAGGTTACGCGATGCTACTGCTCTAAACTAAGATTCTTTGAGCACTTCCACAGTTGTTAATTGAGAGCATTCTAAGCCTGTATCATTTTTGTATTAGTATAATTGTGTGGCAAGTACAATCATGCTCTATGCCCAGGGAAGTCGAGACATTTTTTAATCCGAACAATTCTTAGACCGGACCGGGACTCAACCGCGTCTAGCATGGTCCTGCTTTATTGCAGAGATAAGTAAGGTCCCACGGCATCTTTTCTTTTTAAAACCGCTCGCAACACTCACGTGGACAAAAACCTGGTCAAATTAAATGTTAAATTGCGTTTTCAGCAGCCACTGAACACTAGCTCACGTACGATCGAGGTCATGTCGGATTACCGATAGCAACATGAAGCTTCTTAATGTTGTACAAAGTTGAAGGTCAATGAATTCCACCACCGCACGTGTGAATTCACGATTTCTTTTTATTGAATGTTCGCAAGATTGTATTACCTTTTTCAGATATTGCTTTTTTTTAACGTCGTTAAAAATAACTCATAGCAATTTGTTGTAATGAGTTTTAACTTTTCCGCGCGAGAAGCTTGAAATGATCCGAAATAAATACTCGTTACGGTAAGATCCTGGATCCTTTGTTCTCAGTGCGTCTTCTTAACATTTCTATCAAAATATAGGTTTATTCACAATTCCTATAAATTCCGCCAAGAATATGGCTTTAACATCTAGGGGGCTGTCTGTTACTAAAGTACTGTTTGTAAAAAAAATTCTATGGAGGAAGGCGCTTCATTCTTTGCAGGGACTAAAATAGTATTAACATTACTTTTTATTTTCATTGATGTTAAAATTTATAGTTGTTGTTACATATCAATTCATTTAGCCTGAGGGCTTTTCATCTTTTGGATTTAATTTTTTTAATATAAATTTTGCGTTTGAAAACTAATTTACATTATTCCCTCTTTGGGGTTATTTAGTTTGGGTTGAACATTTTGATAACCTACCTATCTACAAATAACTTATCTATAGCCTAAAATTGGGTTGAATTAACTTAAGTAAAGGAAGTGGTAAATTGAGCCAATCGTTAAACAGCCTTATTTTTACACCTTTCAACAATTATTGAGACCGGTCTGTATTAATATGTATCAGAAATTATTCGCAATTATGTTTCGTCATGGAATCCATTTCCGATATTCGCGTCAAAAGCTCTTAAAAATAAACAGCATCATTCAAAAACTATATGTTCATCAAATTCTTTGCTCATGAGTTTACTGATAGAAAGCATAATCAACGGAACCATCCGTAGACGGGGTCTGTCGAGGTGAAGTAAAGTATGACGAATTAGTACCGCACGGTATTATGTGATTATGAGTCAGCTTATGGTTATAGTCAAATAGGTAGTTCTTTAAATTTTGGTTCGATGGTTCACAAGTTTATAATAAATCACTTCTGAAAATGTAATTGAGTCACCTCATTTCAAAATAATCGATTAATCTAAACCATGAAAGGCAGTGAAGGGTATAACGTCGTGTCGTGTATGAAACGATGGAACGATTACCAAAGAATGGTTATAGCTCGGCCGTCATTGGACTAATTGAATCATTTATTTGAGAAACCGCATAAGTCACATTTTTATACAAATAACTATCATATGA